TATTGAACTTGGTCGATTAGTTGGTAAATGTTCGGTATTTCCAAAAGTGTAAGATTTTATCCTTAACATATTTTAGCAAAGGAAATATTTACCAAGTGAGATAAACCATTGCCCATATATCTTAGGATATTATCCTGGTTCTATTTTGGAAATAGATTAATATAGGAGATGTTTTCCTTCATGCGAGTTTTGCTTTAAGAAAAAGATCTTCAACCTAAGAGGACCTTCTAGGTCGGTCATGGAATGACTTATCCCCCAAGTAGTATAAATAATAAACACATTTTCCAGTTTCGGGCTGATGCTTGAAAACATTTTCACGCATATTTTGAGAGAACATTTGAAAAACACCTAAAAAACAGTTCGTCAGTTTTAACCACTGTTTGTACTGTACACACACTTTATAATGATTTGTATAGTCTCTTACTTTTTCTATGTAAAAAAGCATATTAAGGGAATATGAGTGTTTGTATTGAATAACTAAGGCGCTAGTGATTGGTTAGCATTTGTGAGTTCAAGTGCGAGTGCCACTAGAGTTGAGTGTTGGATTGTTTAGCTTGAGATAGGTAAACAATCATTGTAATTGCTTTTGTTTTTCTAAATTAATTAATAATATTGCTTAGAGGTAAAGAGGACGTAGGCACTAGGTTGAGCTAAACCTCGATAAATCTATGTGTTCTTATTATTTTTATTTCCGCTGTGCAGAAATCAACTTCTACGTACTGTTTCCTTACAATTCGAGAAATTTTTTAATAAGTTCACGATTATTATTTCACGTACTCAATTCAATCCCCCTTCTTGAGTACCAGCTGCACTCACTTTATATCTTATGAAAATTTGTAACAAGTTTAGTGGGGTACAATTGCCTCCATTATTTTGAATGTTGCTTCAATGTATTGCTCAGACCATTTAGTAACTTTAATTATGTATTAGTAAAAACTATAAAAAAAATTGATATTATGAAACACCATATTAAGATAGACAAATATAACAAACACCCCATATGCCTATATGATATTCTTTTATATGTATAATTAGGTCTTATTCTCTTCACCTTATTCAAATGATATTCAATAAAATATTATAATTCAGTAAAATTAAGTTAAGTTTAACAGCATATATATATATATATATATATATATATATATATATATATATATATATGAGTATCGATCAATTAGGTTATGTGTTTGATATGCGCGAAACATAGACAACCAAATAAATTAAACTTAAATTTGAGAAATAAAGTTGAACACAAATGAGATGAACATACAAATATACGTAATTCGGTCAACATGATCTACGTCCACAAGGTAAGGGATATAATTTTCTTATAAGCTTTCCTAGAAGATAAATAAGAGGGATAACAAATTAAAGGAGATACAACGCTCTTTATCTCACAAAATCTCTCAAGTGGAGTTACATATTGGCTTGAATTGGCTAGGCTAATCAATATGAGCCACTCCTAGAAAATAGGCTATTTCTGACAGAATAATTTTGTCGAAAGCTGCTCGTCGTAAATGTATTTGTCGGAAAAACGACCCTTTTCGATAGAAATTTTGTCGGAAACGATTTTCCGACGAAATTAAAACGTCGGACAAGATTTTTCCGAACCGGAAAGTTCGTCGGAAATTTCCAATGGACTGTTTTCCATCGAAAAAAACGCTCCACCACCAGCCCGCCACCTCCTCCAACCAGCAGCTTACCGAGATCTCCTATCACCCCCTGCCCACCATAACCACCACCCACAACCCCTAACCAGGCCACCACCCACATCCCCAAACCACCTCCTTAACCCACAACCATTCCTCAAACCCAAAATTTCGCAAAAAAACCACAAATCCAAAATTAAAACTCAAAAAAACCTAAACTTAAAACACAATTTTTTGTATGCGGCCTGCTGTACTGTGTAGCAGGGGTTACTCGAGTTATTGTGTCAGGGGTTACTCGAGTTATTGGGTCAGGGGTTACTCGAGTTACTCGGTCAGGGGTTACTCCAGTTACTCGGTCAAGGGTTACTTGAGTTACTCTTGACCAAGTAACCCCTAACCGAGTAACCCCTCGAGTAATCCATGACCGAACGCCTCGAGTAACCCCCCAAGTAACCCCTGATTGAGTAACCTCTCAAGTAACCCCTAATTGAGTAACCCCTCAAGTAACCCCTGACTGAACCCTCAAGTAACACCTAACCGAGTAACCTCTGACCGAAGTCTTTAAATAACTCCTAACCAAGTAACTCGAGTAACCTTTGACCAAGTAACTCGTGTAACCCCCGACCGAGTAACCCCTCAAGTAACCCTTGACCGAGTAAACCCCTCAGGTAACCCCTGTTCGAACCCCTCAAGTAACCCCTGACCGAGTAACTCGAGTAACCCCTATCTAAATAAATCGGGTAACCCTGCTACAAGGTGTGACATGCTGCACCAAAAAGTTGTTGAATATGAAATCCCAAAATTAAAACCACAAATCTGAAAAATAATAATAATAATAATAATAGTAATAATAATAATTATAATAATAATAATAATAATAATAATAATAATAATAATATAATAATAATAATAATAAAACCTAAAATCTGAAAATAAAACCCCCTAAAATCGAAGTAAACCCCCAAAAATCGTTAAAAACGAAAAAAAAAACAAATACATCAACATAATCTCAGAAATACAAAAAAAAAAAATTAAATCAACATACCTTTCCTTCCAAAAATTTCATGTATATTGGGTTTACAAGGTCAAATTCGACCATGAAAACTCTAGATCTAGAGTTTTCATGGTCAAATTTGACATAAAATCCTTTTGTTCGTTAAGAAAATTACAAAACCTTGTTGCATGTTGTTGTTGTTTTCTGTGTGGGCGGTGGTGGTAATTGTTGTTGTAGGCAGTGGTGGTTTGAGGAGAAAGAGGGGAAGTGAGAAGAAGAAGGGAAGTGAAGAGACAAAGAGAGTCGTGAGATGAGAGGATAGAGAAAGAGTACAGAGAAAGAAGAGAAGAGAAGTGAGGACAGGAGAGAAAAAGAGAACGTGAGATAGAAAGAGGAAAGGAGAGAGAAAAAGAAGAGGTGGCGGCTAAACCCTTATCTTCTATTAGGGTTTTCGTTTTCTATCTTTTTTTTTCCGATGGAAATTGTTCTTCCCGATGGATATTTTCCATCGGAAACTTCCGACGGAAGTAAAACCCGTCGAAAAATAAGGATTTTCTGATGGATTTTTAGTCCATCGGAAACTTCTGACGGAATTTTTAATATTATCGAAAATTTCGGACGGAATTTAAATCCGTCGGAACTTTCGTATTTTCCGATAGAATTACATGTACGTCGAAAGCGTTCCGTCGGAAATCGAGCTATTTCTTGTAGTGAGGAATTCTAATTGTCCGCTCAATAATTCCTTACATGATATAAGAAAACCCTAAAAGAAACACTAAATTTTTTCCCGAAGCAATAGCATTAGTAGCCATCAAAAGCGTACCCAAAATTAGGAAGCAAAAATTTCGTCTTCACTTATGCAAGGCACGTCTGTGCAGTGTTCCTTCCCAACCTTCTATAGTTCTTCGTAAAACGGCCATAACTTTCTCGTGTCTTATTGAAATTGGGCATATGACTTATCATTTGAAACATTTTGAAACAAGCTATCACCTCTAACTTGAATCATCTCAATATCACTTCTGAATTGAGAGATATGTGAGTTTGAATTCGGCCCTTTGCCATTGCACTAGATTTCAAGTCACAAATAACAATTTGAATAATAAAATAAATCAAAAAGTCAAGCGGTCAAATTAATTATTTTACGCATTAAGTATCACTAATATATAATATATACTAGTCCAAAAAAATAGTCATGTGATGTATTATTAGGTTTATTTCAATGTGTAATTTTTTATTGTTTTCTCTATTTTTTAAATGCATCACTACTTTCAAAATTACAAACTTCTAGATAATTTTCAAAAATGAGGGAGATTGAGGAAAAGGAAAAAGAGGACCCACGTGATAGATGAGAGATAAAGATTCGAGAATTTATTAATTGAATAAATAGGAAAGTGTTGCATCCAAATTAAAACTTCCATATATATCGAAAGTGATAAACATCTAAAAAAACGGAGGACTATATATTAATTTTTTTTATAATATATATTATTGTTGGAAAATTAATGATATCTATACTGTATATTAAAAGGCGTTCCTAAGAACGTCGATGTGCCACGTAGGCCTTTTTAGTTACGCTATGCTAGCTTCCTACATCTCATGACGCCACGTCACCGAAGAAACCAACATTAATCTTTATAAAAAGATAAGGTTAAGGAAATTCGAACATCCAACCTCTTGTAACAAGGATTACTACTTAATCATCTAAGCCAATTACCAACCACATTATCAATATGTTAAAAAAAAGTATATAACTGAAAAGCACAAGGTTCAATTCTTTTATAAAAAAAATAAGATACTCAAAAAATAAATTCAATAAGTATTCAATGTGATTATTATCTCATACCACCTAGGGACGAAAGGTCAGACAAATTCATCTTTATAAGTGTAATACATAGAAATTATAATACAATATTATATAGCGTATGATCCGGGACATCGTCCGAGCTAAACCCTAGTTGATAGTTAAATGTAAGTGTTAAAAATCATACTTTTTTCATTAACTATTAATTACAACAAAAGGGTATTATTTGTGAGACATAAAATATTTTTTATTACAATTAATAATTAACGGAGGAAGTACAAGTTTGAATTTGACACCGTATTATATTGAACAGAAAAGGTATTAGTGCAGTTCTTAGTGCTTGATACGCGTAGTTAGCGATGCGGTAGTATAATTTTCAGAATTTTCTAGACATCGTGTTCCTCGAGTGCAACGAGCCATGGGACCTGGATCGTCTTTAATTGCTTCTCAACACGATAATATAAAAAAAAAAAAAAAATAGATTAGGTGAATAATTAATTCAACGCAAATATATCTTAAATGTCACGTAATTACATGATATTATTGCTATAAATTCAACCGCTTCTGTAATAAAGAAAAGCAACCAGCACACAAGAAAGTTTATTATTTGTTCATCTTTCTCTTCATTTCTTTGTCAAAAAAATTCATGGCCCTCCTTCACTCAGCTCCATCTCACACCCTACATTATTCCATCACTAAGCTTAACCTGAAAAACCCGAGCCCGTTTGTCTCGAAAACTAGCTTCACTAGTAGAAAATTGCATTTCAGAGAGCCAAGTTTTGGTGCTACAAAGATATCATGCAGACTTATTCCTAAAATTGTTCAGGACGGAGTGAACACTGTTGTGAACCCGGTTATTTCCATCGTTGATGGCCTCCAACCTGCGACTTACACGCCGCCCAAAGATGATTTGAAAAAGGAGGATTTCCCTGCTGATTTTATCTTTGGTGCCTCTACTTCCGCTCTTCAGGTTACACTCTCTCATGTTATTCGTCTATTAATATGTTACGACAATCTTTTCTTTTAGGTGACTTGTTTATCTTGTTATATTGTTTATAAAAAAAAAGGTGACACATTTCACGAAATTGAATAATTGAACTTGACCTTAAGTATATCAATTAATTTCATTATGTACGTAAATGATGACTACAATAACTTCTCAAGAAACTAATGCATATCATCTAAGTTGTTTAATTTGCTAGATCAGATGATAAATGTTTTGCTACAGTATGTAATATTTCTGCTTTTATTTTGCCCTGTAGTATAAGTTCGACGTATATTGGTATTTATGTTTAATTGGTTAATGGTAATATATGTGACAGACTGAAGGAAGAGGGGATGAAGGTGGTAGAGGGAAAAGTACCTGGGACTTCATGATTGAAGCCGAAAAGGGCCATAAAGCAGTCGACTCCTACAACCTTTATAAGGTAAAACACCCTACCTCCGAATTTAACATTAAATTGATAATGTGACAATTAAATCCGACGGAGTAAATGATGTACGATAACGTCGATAAGTTATTATTGTAAACCATTGCATATCATTTGGCACGATGATCTGATGATTTGATGGTAACAATTGCAGGAAGATGTTAAAATTTTGAAGGAAACAGGGCTAAATTCTTACAGATTTTCCATTGCTTGGCCAAGGATTTTGCCTAGTAAGTTTCTTTAATATCCAAAAAAAAACTAAAGTGAGTTTATTTTTTATTTATTTTTGACGAGAATAGCGAGTTTTCTTATTTACACTAACTCTTCTCTAAAATATTGCAGATGGAACTGTGGAATCAGGGATCAACCAAGAGGGCATTGATTTCTATAATAACTTCATTGATGAATTAGTTGCAAATGGTAATTTACTCTTCCATCCTATCGACAAATATCAATATTTCAATCCGGATTTAATTATTATCATGAGAAATACGTGAGAAATACTTGCTTAGTACCTGTTTATGACATGTTACATTTATCTCACAATTTAATTTGCTCCAATGCTATCAGGGATCACTCCTATCGTTACTTTGTTCCATTTCGATCTACCAGTGCCACTACAAAAACAATACTTCGGCTTCATGCGACCCAACGTAGTGTACGTATAAATCTACCACATTTTTTTAAAAAATTCAAATATAGTGTACGTATAAATTAATGTAACGTGTGATACTTAACATTGGCTTCCATTAAAAAATGTGACTACATGCAGGGAACAATTCACGGAATTTGCTGATCTTTGCTTTGAGAAATTTGGTGACCGTGTTAAGTATTGGGGGACGATCAACGAGCCTTATGTATTTGGGGCGTATGGGTACAAGATGGGATTGCCTAGCGATCTTCAGAAAGATCCAAGAGGTTCATTCATTGCCACCCACCATATCATCTTAGCTCATGCTTCTGCCGCGAAACTCTACAAAGATAAATACCAGGTGAAAATCATCTTCACGGCTATATACGTGTATAATACAATGTAACTCTATCCAATTTCTTTTATGTAACATAGCTTAATTGTTACCAACTCTTATACACATTTTTTTTTTTTTTTTTTTGTAGAAATCACAAAAAGGGAAAATCGGAATTTCGCTCCCATGTAAATGGTTTATGCCACATTCAACTGATCCTAAAGACTTTGCTGCTTCAAAAATGCAGTTGGATTTCACCTTGGGATGGTAATCAATTATCCTTTGTGTTAATCTTTTGTTGTTTTTTTAGAAGAGAAATAATATATTGCTAAATGACCTCTATCTACATGACATTTAAGGATTGCACACGTGTAGTGTAATAATCTAACTCAATAATTTAAAAAGAGTATAAATAACATTTTTATCTTTAGTGGTAATTGGGTGGATTAGTTGATTATATGTAGCATAATCTAGTAAAATCTTTTATCTTTGATTCGCATATATAATTTTTTTTATTTTTATTTTTTTAATATTGTACTCCATATCTTTAGTGGGTAGACATAATTTATTTATTAGGTAAATCTGGCATAATTTCGAAAGCCATTTACTAACGTGTCCCCCCTCAAAGGAAATATGATACATGTATTGTAGTTCTTATGACATCATTTCTAAATAGTTTCACTATTAATGGTCAAAATATAGAAATGCAAAATAGAACCACGCATTAATTTTAACCGCTGTAGTGATTATTTACTTTCACTTAATTCATCCACTCTTGAATCTAATATTATTGTATAACTCGTATCATTTTCTTCTGATTTTAGTGTTTTAAGGTCTTATTTGGTTGACAAATAAAAATATGGAAAGTTGAAATTCCTATGAATTGAAATTATTTGGAGTTGTTTGGTTGACAATATCATGGAAAGTAGAAATTTCCATGAATTTTCACTTCCCACAAAATGGAGGTATTTAATTACCTAGGGAGACTTGGGTAAGTGTAATTGCTCATGAAAATTTCCACTTCCCATGATTAACCAAACACAATTTAGCATATTTTAGAAATTCCAATTACATGAAAATATACATTTTCAACGAATTTGCATTTTCCACATTCAACCAAACGAGGCCTAAATTTCTTGTTATTAGTTGATTTAATTTTTAACCTAGCTTAATTTCACTAAAATTATGTATTATATAGGTACATGGACCCACTTATTCGTGGGGACTACCCAGAAACAATGAAAAAGAATGTGAAGGGGCTACCAGAATTCACAAAAGCTGAAAAGCAACTAATCAAAGGCGCCTTTGATTATATTGGTATCAATTATTACACTTCCAGATTCGTCGAACACACTTGTACTGTTGATCCAATGGCTGGCAATATCACTATCAATTTCAACGAACAAATTGGTAATTTTTTTTTTTTTGTTTAATTAATTTTGTAATTTATTTTAATAAACAATACACATGACACAAGGGGAAAAAATTATACTAATATTTCCCATCATATCCTATTCGTACGTCACATTGTCACATAGATCAATAATATCGTGATTCGACTTTAAATGCCTTCAGATGTTGTTCGGAATAATAAATGCCTTCAAATGTTGACCAGGATAACTTTGTATGTCATCACATAGATCAATAGTGATTGGACATTAAGGACCTCCAGTCCGCATCACAATCAGCATTAATAGTAAGAAATGGAATGAGAATGATATATGTACAACCTTACAAGCTAACAAGGGTCAATTATTATTAAGTGTATATACTCCGTAATTTTTTTTTTTTATATTTTAATTTTTTTTTTTGGAAATAGTATATACTCCGTAATTAAAAATGCTACTTATTAACATTTAATAATGATAAAGATGACAAAAATGACGAGCCATTTTGTCAATTTGTGAACCATTGACAAGTAACGTGTCTGTTCCCACATAATCACACGCACAAGTAACAAATTATGTACTACTCTCTTTCAGACAAGTAATAATATAAGGCATATCTTAATTTTTTTTTTTCCTGAACAATGTACTTTTCTTTTATATATTACAATCTTCACTACTTATTTATAAAAGTAGTCGATAATATATGAGGAAAACCAAAAAAGAATTTTACGTCTTCTTACTATAAAAATTTACTAGTATCTAATAGCTACAATTGCAATTGATTTAAATAATGACATATCTTAAATTGACTATATCGCAGCTGATGATGAGGGAAATCTTGTTGGGTTGCAAGCCAAAGGACAAGCTGACATTTATATCCGTCCTGATGGACTCAAGAATTTGCTTCTCTACATTAAGGAAGAATATGGCAACCCTGAAGTCTATGTCACTGAGAATGGTAAGTACATTTTTAAAAATGACCAATTCTTAGCTTAAAGCGGATAGCCTTGTTCTTTTGGACTTATTTTAAATTCATTTTAATTTAATTCAATTCAATTTGAGGGCCTTAATTTAACACATTGCAAGGCATTAAAGTTATCTTTTAAAAATAAGTATTAATTTACTTATATCCTCATACAATAAATTATTTAAACTTCGCTTTATAAAAGTTTTATTGTGTCATCATCATATTTTTAATGTTTATCTACCACTTGGAGGCGTTCGTTAGCAAGATTCGGAAAAAGGTAACGAACGTCCCAAAGGCGTTGGATAAGATAAGTAAACGTTGAAATATTAAATTAAAATTAACATTAATTACAACGATCAGCGCGTGATTTTGGCATGCATTCCTAAATTAATACCACTTTAGGATGTATTTTAAATGTTTATCTAACGCTCAGGAAGTTCATTAGCAAGATTTTTTCATATAAGATTTGGGATTCAATTTTCATCATTTAAAAAATTATAAGATTTAGGATTCAATTATCATAGTCAACATTATGATTATTACCAAGCAAGCTGCTAACATAATATGGACGGTGGTGTTTATTACAACAGGTGTTCCTGATAAACCAACTATTACAAGTTCAATTCAGGATCTAATTGCACAAGGTAAAACTGAAGAACTTGCGGCTGCTCTTGATGATGATTACAGAATCCAACATACTCAAGATCATCTTATTGCTGTTCGTGAAGCACGCAGGTAACTATATATATACATATTTACACTATATTTGGATAGAGTACGTAATTAACTCCAGTTTTGGTATACCCTGATAGACATACATTTGATAATGAATTAATGACCATCAATACCCCATATTTCTCTCTTTTTTTTTTTTTTTTTTTTTTTTTTTTTTTTGTCTACGCTCAAATGAGCATTATTGGGTATCCATTACTTTTACAGTACTCATTTTCTTAAGTCTCATGCTAATTCCAAATGAAGCAATTAAATAAATTGAAGGAAGTAAGTACATAATAAGTAAGACGTGGGAATAGCTCAAGTGGGTAGAGCTCTTTCGCCGGTCTTTGTGATCACTCAAAATTCTATATTAACTTGGGTGTATGCAATACAGCGAGGGAGCAAACGTGAAAGGCTATATAGTATGGTCATTGATGGACAATATGGAAGTAGGAGCTGGTTATGATGTTCGCTTCGGTCTCAACTTTACAGATTATTTTGACAATCACAAGAGATACCCTAAGAAATCTGCTAGATGGTATGCTGATTTCCTTAATGCTGACGGCACTAAGGATTCCTTGAACTAAACCAATACTAATTGTGTGAGTTGATAATTCATCAAGAATTTATGTGAAATTCTAATTGTACGGCTTTGACTTGTAGTCGTGGTGCATTATAGCAAATACAAATAAAGTTCATTGTGAGCTATATAGGGTTTGATAAGTGTTTTGTGTTCGATCAATTTTTTTTTTATTTTTTTTTTGGTTCAGTGTTTTTTTTTTTTTTTTTTTTCATTTGAATTATACTTTATGTAAGAGTTGATGTGTATGATTTTCGGTTTCAATCAATAACATAAAACTTTTGAATTTGTCTCAAATATTTACAGGAAACTAGGAATTTTATGGTACTCTTTCTGTCCTCAAATAAAAGTTTTGTTTCCTTCATTCTCTTTTAGTTGTAACTAATTGTAGCAGTTTCACGCTTGCCAAATCACATCTTATGCCGTTAATACCTTTAATTAAATTTTAGAAAATTAAAAGTTATAAAAAAGTTAATATTCTGAAAACATGTGTCATGACAAATCTGCTAACAAGATCTCACTTGACTTTTTTTTTCCCCTAATATATTAGTCACAAAAGACGGTAAAAGAAGTGTGTATGAATAGTGTAGATTACTAAACGTTACGATTAAAAAAATTGGTAGGAAATACTCCATCCGTTTTTTTTTTTTTACAAGCTAGAGTTACTATTTTCGTTCGTTTTTTTTTATAAGTTAGAGTTTCATTTTTGGAAATCTCTAACTATCTTTACCCACTAATATCCCCCTTCTTTCTTACTTTATCATTTTTCACTCCTTCAATGGTCCCCGCTCCCCCCTCACACCAATTTATTTTTCAATAAAATAATAACCTTATCTACGCCACTAACATATTATTTTATTAAATCGCCTAAAACTCCGTGCAATCTCATCTCTTGCCTATACTATAAAAAAAAACGGAGGGAGTATTTGTTTTTGCGCACATTTGTAGAAAAGTAAATGTATAAAAAAAAATGTAATAGTATATGGTGATTAATTTTTTTGAATGGAATAGGAAGGGTGATTTCATTAAATAATAATAGCTATTTGGCACTTACAATCATCTCTTAAGAGATCTAAATTCTCAATACAAGTATTTAACACCTCTAAACTAATGTCATCGCTTCTAAACTGCTCCAAAATAATTTTAGATGTCTTTGCATCGTTCATGACGGAGCTCCATTGATGTATAGTTGCGAAAGTGATAAAACTTGATTGGTCATCAAGGTCGGCAAATTTACAAGACGAATCTTCTAAATCTGCATCCCTAAACCAACAGACCCGCAATTCCACAAAATTTTAAGACGAATATTCCAAATTTGTATCCCTGCACACATGAAAAACAAACAAACAATACTAAAATCTACCATTAGAGAACCGACTAAACCCTGCATGGAGGGATTGACTATAATCACCATACTGTTGGTGATCTTTATTGGCTAAAAACAATAAATTGAAGAAGAATTTAGGGCTTACCATCGATAAAATCAATGACAGCCCCCTAAGTTTTATTATGGTGGTTAGGTTTGAAGAGAGAGAACAGAGAATTTTTTAGGGTTTATATCATCTTAAAGTCCTTAATATTAAGCAAATGATCGTATATGGTGATTAATTAAAACTAATAATGAAAACTAGATAGTGATTTTTTATGGGAAGATGACTTTTTTTTTTTTTACACAAAGAAGAAAAAAAATCATTAATAATAGATGGACAAATGATACTTATCCAAACAATTCCTAAAAAATCTAAAATCTTAACATGAGTACATAACACCTTAAAACTAATTACATCGTAGATCGATTTGATCAAGAATTGCCTTAATAAAAAACTTCATCTAACATAATAAAATATGTGAGTTAGTACTAATCCGGCTTAAAATCTACTAATGAGATAGTTATTTTGGTGAAAATACTCATGCGGTTTTCTAAATGTTTGTGCAAATTATGAAACCCTAAATCTTCAATGCTCGCCAGACGAAGAAACAAATAAAAAAATAAACACAATGAATAAGGCCCTGTTGTTTTGAGCTTTTGAGCAGAGCAGAGCAGAACAGGGAAGAGTAGAGCAGATTTTAGCACAGCAGGGCAGAGTAGAGTAGAGCAGATTTCATTATTATTATTTAAAAAAAAATTAATTTTTTTAATATTATTATTACTATTAATATTATTTTTGTCGGAGTTTTCTGTATCCCTCGGGAGAGTTACGTCACTAAGACTGGATATCGGGCGCCTGTACCTGTAAAACAATGGAGACTCTGGTTGGGTGGAGTTCCGCCTCCGACGATCAAGTTAGAACGTGTATGGAGAATGTAAAAAGGTGTGGAAAGTAAGGTGGGATCTTCTCGGATTCCGAGATCAGGTATATACTCTGAGGTGAGAAATGATTATCTTGCAATCAATGATTGCATCCGTGTAACCCTTCAATAATGGAACGTGTGTTCTGTAATTGAAGCTCCCTCTTTTTTTATTTTTCTCCTTCCCTAAGTGGAATACATCTCCCTTTTATAGGATCTTTAGAATTCGTGCCCCCATCCTAGGTTGCGGAAACCTAGGCCCAACGGGCCGTCTAGGGATTTGGGCCTTGAAGGCCGCCAATCCAATTTGGAATATTCGTCTGCCACGTGTCTAGCCCTGGTAGGTCCACTTTGGGCTTTCCCTAGGGTGACACGTGTCAATTTTTGATTTGTCCACGTGACGGGGTAAAAATATCCAAATCATTTGCCCCTCACAAGGGTGACATGGCGTGCCACGTGGCGCTTGTGACAAGTATCACACATGAAAGGGTGGATAGTATTTTACTATTTTAGCTTCTGGAGTAAATGTCAGGATTACCTTTGAGATTTCTACCCCTCTATATGTGTGTCTTAATTTCCTTCATTTTCGCATATTCACGAGATATTTTCAGACAAGTAATCTTTAACTTTTGAAAGAATTTTGTCTGTTTCTAAGAAAAGCACCTGCCGCCTGCAACTTGTCTGTCTGTTTCTACAGCCATCCAAGACTTTTTCAAGCGCCCACAGTACCTTCAAATCTAAGGTAACCGCTTGCTTTTCTCTCTTATTTTAATCTTGCTTCTTTTCTTTTTTGAAAATGGTTTCCCAAAATTACACGGCACGGCTTAGTTTAGTGATCAGCCGATCACCGGGGACGGCTGAGTCTAGAACTAGGAGTGCCGACTGCCCCTTCTTGGACTTCCCCGAATCCGACTGTCTCTATGTCTGTGCAGGACACCATGGCCAGAATTAAACAAACATCTAGGCAGCAAAATTCGGACGGCTCCTTTAGGGTGCCTATTAGTGAAATTTCAGATCTGCCGCCTGGTACTCCAAGTACCCCTAGTGACTCAATTTTGCAAGAATCAGGGGAGGAGTAAGGGAGTGATGTCTCTAGCTCTGTTCATCAGGCCCTCATGCGGGCGTTAGATCCGATAACTCGGACAGTGAGCGAGAGCCGTATACTTCTGGCAGAGTCTCTAATGAACATCACTCTCGGCTGGAGGCAGCGAGGGAGTCTCTCTCCGTAGAAATGGGCGAGGGATGGGCCAAGCCTTCTACCCATCGCCGAGAATAATTGCTGCTTATTACCACCATGTTCCCGCAGGCAGGCGGAAGATTATGACTGACAAGATGGGGAAATTCAAAGCTGACCATGTCATGGGTCATGGCTTTATTATAAGTGTCCCGGATGCTGAGGACACCGTAGTTTGGCCAGAAAGGTCAAGCTAGGGGACAGATGCTTTGGCTGTGAGGCGACCATTGAAGCTGGTCTTAGATTCCCTCTCATTCGGTTGTGGAGAAAATTTTAGATGGATACCAGCTAGCTATTTGACAACTTGCCCCCAACTCTTGGATGAACATTATAGGGCTCGTTGCCGCATGTGAGATGCTTGAGGTAGAGCCAAGTTTTGAGGCCTTTGCCCATAAGCCCTATCTTAGCCGGATTCCGAAAGCAAGCGGGTTCAGATGGTACACCATTTCAAGCCACAAAGGCTTTATGATGACTTTTAGGAAGGAGTCCAAGTGGAAGGACTTGATTATTTTGTTCATCTTACTAACCACTTACAACTTCTTATGCAGACAAAGCAATGGAAAAACTTTCGGCCTCCAAGAAGCCGGCTGCCTGCTCCGCCACCTATTACCGCTCCCTTTTAGGCCAGCAGAAGAACGAGGATCCGGATGCAGCAAAAACGCCCAAGGTGAGTCACTCTTAAATTGGAGAGGTTGGACTTATTTTTTCCGCCTGCTCTTTACTTATTCTGGTTTATGTGCAGGGCGATTCATCCAAACCTTTTTCCTCTTCTTAGCCGGACCCGAAGCTTCAAAAGCAGTCGGGCGGCGATGTGAAGATTCCTAGCAAGCCTAGGAAGCATGTGGCCCATAAGCCTGGAAGGACCCACCCTCTAACTAGGGGAAAATCACTAGCCGGCCGTAAGGGAAGTAGGCCCCGGAGGACCAGGAGGCGACAGGTGGGAGCAAGGTCCGAAGGGAGAAGGCAGTCGCTGGAGGTATTACAAGTTTTAATCCCTTACCCTACCCTTATAGGGTCAAGTTCAATCATTAGTCAACCAGCACTTCTGTAGGCAGCCGCTCGAGTCGCTTGGGATTAATGTTTTTCCTCTTTGTCGGATGCAGGCTATGCTGCGGGTGAACAACCTTAAAAGCCGTTCAACAAGAAGACCAAAGAGATAAAAGCTGCGAAAGCTCGGGCCGCCTCTTCTCTAGATACGCCCGCGTTTGAGTTTCTCAAAATGAACTACTGACCACTGACATACTGTATTCTCAAGCGGCAGCCAATCTGCAGGTCAAGGCCGATCTGGATGCGGCGAAGAGGCGGATCTCTAAGCTAGAGAAGGAGTTTAAGGACCTCAAGGCCAAGCTCGAGCCCCTCCAAGAGACAAACGCTGAAGCAGACGGGCTCCACACCCGGGTGAAGAACCTTAAGAAAAAGCTGCAAAACCAGGAAGTCCAACTCGCAAAGAAGTATACCTCAGGAGCTAAGGAGGAGAAGAAGGCCTTGGTTAAGTAAATGATGGACGACTCCGATGCCATCATGCGGATGACTTGGGAGTCCCTCTTCCCCAATCCTAGCTATGACGGGTGGAAGCATCAATTTGACGCAACCTCCCTTGAATATAATGATAGGCTTTTTAACCAAGCCCAAGAGGAAGAGGAGGAGGAGGATTCGTCCGATTCTGCTGAGGGGTCATCCGGGGGTCTGATAAGGAAAAGGAGCAGGAAAAAGGAAATGACCGGCAGCCGACTGGGGAGAAAGAGGATGCGGCTGTCGATACTGAGAAGCTTCT